TTAAATAAAACCTTTAAAGAAAATACACTAATATTGCACATTAAAATTAATTATGGAGTATTACGCTAAACAATAGTACAAATTCTGACTTTGTTTTTTTTTTACACAAGATTTACTATTTTAATGTACTATAGTAGCAAATTCTGTAAATTTTTACGAGTAATCTTTAGATAATAAATTCAATTACATGAAATTTTGATTATAGTTATCTATCTTTCGCATGAAACCTATGTCTTCCCATTTCTTCTCGCTCTCTAATCTGTTCAATTTTTTTGTGCACATATCTGATGCAAAGATGCCTTCTTTCCATAAGCCTGTGATTTGTATCTCTTTTAAAACTAAAAGAACCTAAAAATTTCCTGCAAAACCATTTATAATTATTTCCAAAATATCACTAACTTTATTTTTGTCACAGAACCGCTACCGCTCCTGTAGTTGGTTGGCCTCCCATTCGATCCTTTAGAAAGAACCTTGCAAGTTCTTCTTCTAAATCAAACCTCGAAACCCCTGACGAGAGCTTGAAGAAGACAGCAAAGCCTGAAACTAACAAGGGCTTATTTGTGAAAATTAATATGGATGGAATCCCCATTGGAAGAAAAATTGACCTTAAGGCTTACAATAGCTATGATAAGCTTTCACTAGCTGTTGATGAACTGTTTCGTGGTCTTCTTGCAGGTATATTTTCTTGGATATTAAAGATAGTATATCATATTAATTATACTTGTATTTAAAGTGATTCATTTAGATTTGCTTGATTTTATATGGTTTCACTACTTCTGTCAGATTTTTTTTTAATTTACTTGTTAGTTTAAGTTCTCATGTAGTTACCTTCAATTTTTTTCAGTTGCTTGGTATTGTTGAAAAGAATAAAAGAAGAACAGTCCATTTTCCATGTATAAATTTATCCCAAAATCGATTCATCAAGATATTGTTTGAGTTTATGTATTAATAAAATTAAGCAAAATCTTAATAAATCACATTTGGATAATCAAACATTATATTCCAAGTGTATATGTTGGTTAGTGTAAGACTGCAAAATATATATCCATGGCAATATTGAGAAGAACAAAAACAGAATTGTCCATATCTTCCAAGTATAGCCTATACCATTTGTTAGTATGTTGAAGTTCATATGTTCAAGTATTTGTTCAGTTAGTATTATTAAGCCTACTCTTATCTGATTATATACCAATGTTAGGATGTCTTTTATGCAAAAGTTTCTGTCTATATCCATATATATCATTTGGTTAAATATTCTAATTAAGTATTGAGCTATGTTCAAACTGAAATAGTGATAAAGAAGTTTCTATGAAAAAGCTCAAGTTCATCTGACACTTTACCTGTTCTCATTGATTTAGCCCAAAGAGACCCTATTGCTACTGGCAGTCTTGAGAAAGAACAAGCAATCACAGGTTTATTAGATGGGAGTGGTGAGTTTACTTTGGTGTATGAAGATGATGAAGGAGATCGAATGTTAGTTGGAGATGTTCCTTGGGAGTAAGTAACTTTCAATTTAGGGTTGAATTATTCCATCTTTTTCCTAATTTTACCCAAAAAATGACTAATTAAAGTTCGATCCTCTAATATTGAAAAATTCTTTGCAGGATGTTTGTTTCAACTGCTAGGAGATTGAGAGTGTTGAAGAGCTCTGAGCTTTCTACATTGCGAGTGAGCATAAATATTAACATCACCAAATAAAGTTTGATTTTTCTTGATTTTAACCATTAAACAGCTAATTTTCATCTTTTTATGTGCTTGTTTTTTAGTCGGGAATAATCAACAAGAAGAGAACGGCGGAGTGTTGAGTTTACATTGGAATGAAGAACTTGTGACCTACATCTTTTAAACTTTTGGCACTAGGATTTTGTATGTAGAATTTTCCTCACTTTTAATGGGTGAGTTTAGCTATTATGTACTAATTATCCTTTCATGTTTTGGGTTTGTACAAACCAAAATCTATGGAAAATATTGGTAAACAGGTGGGAACTTGTTTGGAACTTGCTATTTATTTTTGGATATACAAGTTTTATTTTTTTTTATAGATTTTTGAGTTATATATGAATTTGCAAGTAATTTATCTGGAGCTTCCCAGTTTCTTGTGATTTCGATATACCTAAAAGCTAAACGTTAATGTATTGGTGGAGAAATGTCATATATATAGTAATTGCACTGATAAATTATGATCAGGTTGGTGTATGCTTTTTCATTAGACGTACCTTATCTAACATATTCCTTTTCATGGTCTTTTACTCAAATTGATGGAAATTACCTTTTGAAAATTTTTTAAATGTAACCTATCTTTACTTGCTATTACTCTTGCAACGCCACATCTTTTGCCGTTTTTTCTTAAAAAACACCCACGCTTCCAAAAATACCCTTAGTTAGATTTGCTAAGTATGTGCGTCCTAATTAATTATAAAAAGGAGTTTTCAAATATTAGTCCGCCCAAATCATTCATTATTTCGATAATTGTCTCCCAAATCATCATATTTTAAAAATGAGTCCCAAAATCTCTCTCTCTCTATATATATATATATATATATGAATAAAAGTAAATATAGTTTCCATAGATAAACCTTTTTTTTACTTTATCGTAAGAACTACATGTTTGCACGTAAGAGTCTTGCATCTAGTTCTAAGATTGATCAACATCTGAGCTTATCTACATAAACTTTCATTCACATCCTTCATAATTTTTTGACTAAATAACACCTAAGCATCATACAGTTTCCCATTTGTTGCACTTAAATACCTCTAACTGTTTTTTGCTATACTAAAATAACATATAGCTTTCGCTGTTAAAACCCATTAGCATCATTACCTAATTTTCTAATGGAAATACTAAAATAGCCCTCTCTTAAATTAAACACTCAATAGCTAAAACTCATTTTACCTTCTTTTCTTACTTTTTCTCAAAAGACTACTGAGCCCTAGAACCCGAGGTTGGATTTTTCCTATTAAGCTTAAAACTGAAATTCTGGATTTTGATTGTTGCTAAATTTGCAGAATTAGGATTGGATTTTGATATTTTATTAGATAACCTCTTGTCAACATTGTGTTGGATAGCAGGTTCCTAATATGTTTTCTAATTTGTTTAGGTAACAGGTTATTGGGATTCCTAATCTGTTTTGGTAACATGATTCCAAATCTGTTTTGGTAACATGTTATTAGGATTCCTAATCTGTTTTGACTTTGGTTTTAGAATTCCTAGTATGCTTTTGGTTTTAGGATTTCTATATATATAGGAACACGTTTTAGGTTCGGGGAGCAGCGAATTGGGGATATTTGTAGCACAGAAAAGAGGTATATTCTGAGCTATTGGTTAGGGTTTTATTTGGAGAGAATTAGAGATTTGTTGGTGAGATTAATTGGTGAGTTTGAGCTATTGGTTAGGGTTTTATTTGGAGAGAATTAGAGATTTGTTGGTGAGATTAATTGGTGAGTTTGTGTGATTTTGTAATCTCAGTTTGTACTCTTTGTTGGTGAGATTAATTGGTGAGTTTGTGTGATTTTGTAATCTCAGTTTGTACTCTTCTTCTCTATTAGAAAAAACCACGTTAAAATTGGTTGTTTGAGTTTGTACCATTATTTTGAATTGTTTGTGGCCTTCTCTCTCGGCGATTGGTTTGGTTTCTCGAAGCACATCGTTAATTTTGGCTTCCGCCGCACACAACAATTAGTATCAGAGCTTGGGCTACGCTTGGGCTACGCTTGGGCTAATTGGAGGAGTAGATCGCTTTGGAAGTTCGTCTAGGTTTCAGTTGGTGATAAATGTAGGATTTTTCCTATTTGTGGATCTCGTTTCCGTCGTACGTGGTGAGATCTTTCGGAGACTCTTGTTAGGGTTTCAATTGGAGGTAAAAATCTCTCCTTTATCAGTTTGGATCTATTCTTCGTTTGTTTCGCATTGGTTTGTTGGTGCTTTGAGATAGATGGCCGAGAAAGAAGGAGTTGAGGCTGGGATATTGCATTATTGAGGAGTGTTTTGACCTGTAGATTGAACTCCTTTGAGCACATTGGTATGAGCAAGAAGACCGAGGTGGAATTTGACACTTCTATCCATCGAACGAGGGGTCTTTTAGGTGGTGTTCATTCAGGCATTTGGGAGTCTTCCAAGAAGGCATCGTTGGGAGATAATAGATATTTGGTTTTCGTAGTTGGGGACTGTTCTAGGCATTGGTAGGTTGCAACCAAGTCCCGTTGGTTCGAAGTCCTATAAGTCAACAACAGGTGGAGGAAGTGTATTGGCAGAAAGATAACTCATCGTTCTGATTTTGGTAGGGTCCTTTCTTGCGTTTGTGCCGAGCTCACGGTAGTTTGAGACATTTCATTAGAGGGGAAACATTGGGGCGACGAGATGAGATGACAGTTTTGATGGGTCGTTCCTTACTGGAGGAGGATCAACATTTGATGTCGAGCATTGGTTTTGGTGTTCGAGCTTTAACATATTTGGGTCATCTTAGTCATAGGTTGCCGACTGCTGCATTTGGAGATTTTGGATCTGGTGGAGCTGCTTTAGATTTTGGGTTGCGTCGGATGTTTGGTTGCCCTATATTTGGTCACATCGAGGATGTGAGATTTAATCTGATAGCATATTTAGGATTCAGAGGCTCGTTTGGTTATCAGTTGGGAGACTCTGATTTTGTTCTGAGTAGGTATGTCTCATTTGACTCTTGGCAGGTGGAGAGTGTTGATCAGATCATTAGGATATCGGAGCGGGTGGAGAGTGATGCTACTTCATATTGGGTGGAGATTACTCTACATACTCCAGATCAGACTGCATCATTTAGGATTCTAGCTGAGATGATACAGTTTGGGGATCATTTAGATTTGGATGCAGATGATGAGTTGGTTTTGGATTCGAGTGTAGCTAGTGAACATAGTTCGCATTTGGTTATGGCCATTGGTTCATCTCAGGTGGAGGTGTTTAGTTTGTTTCACTTTGGGGCTATTGGGAGAGTTCTATCAGCCACAGATTTGTTGATGATGTTGGAGAAGGATTGTGAACTTTTCTAGTTGATTGAGGCATTTGGAGGCCATTTGGTGAACTACGTGAAGACTTGATTCGTTGGGCAAGAGGATACGTAGGCAGTCATTTATGATGCAGCCGGTTTGATGAGTTGATACTGACATTTGGAGTTTGTTCGCATTCTCGTTTGGGTTCTCGACTTCTTGTGGATTGAGTCCGTTGTCGTGGTTTTGTTCTACTTCGTACTGGACGCAACAAGTGAGACGTTTGGTTGGTATTGGTGTCGGCTCAGTTTTGGGAAAACTTCACTGAGGTGGAGAATTATTGGATAGCAGGTTCATAATATGTCTCCTAATTTGTTTTGGTAACAAGTTATTGGGATTCCTAATCTGTTTTGGTAATAGGATTCTAAATCTATTTTGGTAACATGTTATTAGGATTCCTAATCTGTTTTGATTTTGGTTTTAGAATTCCTAGTATGCTTTTGGTTTTAGGATTTCTATATATATAGGAACACGCTTTACGTTTGGAGAGCAGCGAATTGGGAATATTTGCAGCACAGAAAAGAGGTATTTTCTAAGCTATTGGTTAGGGTTTTATTTGGAGAGATTAGAGATTTGTTGGTGAGATTAATTGGTGAGTGTTTGGGTCAAAAATCGCTGTTTTCATTGTGATTGAATCTATTATAACTTTAATCGTTTACAATAAAATCAAATAAAAAGTTGATCTTTTTACAAGATCTCCTTATACAATAAAAATACAAAAGATACGACTCTTATCAAATAGCACAACGGACGTTTATCACCCGCTGCTTGCGTCAGAACTTTGCTTGTACCGGGGACGTTAATATCCGTGGACCGTCACGGATCAGATCCGGTTGACAAATTGGTGATCAAAGCTCTTACTTCACGAAGGAAGTAATCGATGCAGCGATGATCTCGACCAAGAGAGATCACGGCTCTTATCGAGATTTAAGACCAAGCTTAAATCTGGAGGAATAGGTGACAGGTCTCAGATCTCTCGAACTCTACTCTTTATACACAGGAGATTGCCAAGATCTGCTAACCCTTGCTGTAAATTCGTGGCTCCACTCTCCAATTCGGTAGCATTTCACCCTCTTGATGTCCAGCCAGAGAAATGAGCACCCGAGCTCGTATTTATAAGCTTCGGAAGTGAGTATTTGGATAAGAACGAGAGATTCCTCCTTATCTTCAGTTAAGAACTGATTAACCATAATATCAGATCAGTTGGGACGCTCAGGAACCAACAAATCCCGAGAGAATATGTGAAAACTGAAAAATCACACTTTTAGATCAAATCTGGTCGAAGCGTCACCCGGTGGCTCGGCCTGGCCGGGCCACCAAATGGTGGCTCAGCCTTGGGCCGAGCCACTGGCCCGACCGGATCGTTTTGACACGATCCGGCCGCTAGAGGCTTTCTTGGTTTTCTCGGGTTTGACTCGTTCCGTCGTTTATGTGTATTTCATTGTTTCTCCGACTGGTACGCTTCCTCGATTCGCTTTGCTCATTTCGCGAACGCGCGGATCGCTTGATGGTGGGCGATGAGCACGCGGGCCACCCGTCGTTGGTCGTTCTGGTGGTTCGTCGCCACGTCATCAACGTTTCACTGATTCGCTTCATGTGTTTGTCGGCGTCAGATAATTCTCTTTGATTTAGATAACATCGTTCATCACCTTCTCTCTGTCTTGAGCAGTGTGTGGATACCTATAAGCATTTTTAGACGCCTACAGATACCCCCTCCAAAGTATTTCAGACTCATTCTTTTATAGAGGAGTCTGGGATGCTTTGGATATGATAGGCTCCCACCTTCAGTCAGTGTCGAAGGACCTGTGAACTGCTTCAATTCTTGACTTCTTCAGCCTTCAGTCTATTCACTGTTTTGTCAAATAGATGAAGTTTTTCCGGTGCTGCGTTTATCGTTTGACCGTTGTCAAAATCATGAATCGAAATTGGTGAGTTAGTTTTGACACGTGTCATTGAGTTGACTTTGAACTGATTATCTTCGTTGCAACGCGTTGA